GCCTGGGATTATCAAAATTATCGCCTTTTTGGAATTGGGAGGCCCCATACTAACAGAAAATCAGCAACAGAAAATTTGCGTATGAATTTTTTTTATTTTTGTAGCATTGTGTTATGTATCAAAACAATTTTTAGCTCGCGCCACTGATACAAATTTTTTCACCAAATATATTACTTTGATTCCATTTGCCTTGAAGTTTCATACAATTTTGATTGACTTTTATGTTTAAAGATGGGTGAATGTTAAACATACTAGTTCGATTTTCGCAAATCAGATATGGGAGAACTGTAGAAAATGAAAATACCAAACATCTATCTATCTATATATATAAAGAGAGTTGTATGTATGTATGTCACGAATGTTTGGCCAAACCGTTCATCCGATTTGGGATCCAAAGATACCGTTGGAAAGCTCTTGGTCTGGACTCCAGTTATCATTTTTATTTTTATTAATGTCCACTGGAAACAATGTAAAATTTGTGATATTTTCTATCAGAGACTGTGATTGTTATCGTTATTTTGTGATGAACGAAAAAAACATTATCAAATGTTTAAACTATTGTGATTCCTGCTTATTTGAGAAAATCAAAATCGAATTAAATGAACAAATTTTCATGAGACTTCGTTTCTAGATTGAAATAAAGAAAATATATACAAAATATAAAAATGTATTGGCGAATAAATTGAAAGCAAAGCAGGTCACAAATTGTGACTCACAATGGGAATGGATTGCAACGAAAAAAAACAAGCTCAGCCCATTTTCTATGAATAACAAACATCTTATTTGATTTTCTTTTCAATGCATTTAGCCGATGGCAACGAGACAATTAACTGGGATTATTACTGCGTGCATGAGATTCTGTATGTCGATTTGAATTTGAAATTTTTTTTTGGTTGAACCAACTCAAGGGAATTTTCTTTTTCGTTCGTCTTCGTTCACTTATGTTTGTTTTCGATCGTTTGTTTACTAGCGAACGAAAACGAATGAAAATTGGATATCGTTTGTCGAATGCGAACGAAAACGAAAAATTTAAATTCTTAGCGAACGAAAACGAACGAATTTTCGTATATGGGGGCGAACGCGAACGAAAACGAAAGTTGAATTTTTTTAGCGAACGAAAACGAAAGCCGAATCGGCCATTCGTTTACATCTTTAGTCTGGAGAAGGTTCCTAGAAACATCTTGGTCCATCACGGTCCATCGTGGTCAAGTTAACACGACTTAACACCATTTTTGCAAACGAATAGTCGACATGGGTATCATTTGATAGGGCTTGGAACGAAGATTAACCAGGGATCGAAACCGGTTTGACGTTTCTCATACAAACCAATTGCGGAACGGTTTCACTGCTTTGCTCTCTGTTCATCAGAACAAACCGTATCAAGCGGAACGTTCCGAAAATGGTTTGTATGAGCAACGTTAAACCGTGCCGTCACTATGTTAGTGCTGTTTACCAACACATAGCAGTATAAACGTTTGTTTGAATGGTTAGCATGGGAAGTTGAAACGTCAAGTAAATACAATTACACACTTAATAATCAAAACGTTTGACATATCTGATTCAAATTTTATTTATTTTCAAAACGGTTAAATGATGTGTGATTCACATTGTGTAAATGTTGAATGTTTTTGTAAAAAAAAATGAATGATAATAAAAATCAGTCGAATGCAGCAAGCAATTGAGCTTCTGACTCCTTCTTAAATTTGTCGTGAAGCGACTTCAATACTTTTTTCGAGATCTTATTGAAGTCCACACGCCGAGTCTGGCCCACATGAACCATGAAGAGTTTTTCGGCAAACTTCATTTTGTGTTTGTCCAAAGATCCAGCTTTGATGTTGGATTTGCGGAATATTTCGAGCAGAACGCACCGCAAAAAAGTCTCGTCGAATTTTTGATGTTTTAATGCTTCATTTGTGTTGTACATTTGAATGAACGTACATACTGGATTACGCAAGACAACTTCATATTCAATGTAGTATCGGGCATGATTTTCCTGAAATCATTTTTGAAAGTTTAATTACTATTGTGCATGTGTTCAAGAGGTAGTAAATAAAATATACGCACGATCACGTCAAACTTGTGGCCTGGCAAGACCTTGTCCCATGCATTTGGATTTGAATTTATCGAATTGGCACCAAACGCAGTGTGGCCACCAGTGCTCGTTCCCGGAACTGATTGGCTTGTACTGGCTCCTGCCAAATTATGGACGCCACCACTCGGTTCCTTATCAAGAACACCACCAGCCAATTCAGATTTAACGTTTGTGCGAGCTTGTGTTGTCTGGGAATCATTTGCCACTGCCTGCAAAATTCACAATTTGTAATTTTATTTGTAAAAATGAAAAAAAAAAACACTAACTCACCGATTCAGGGTCACCGCTTGAGTCCGGTTCCATTGCGTGAGATGAATTTTCATTTGAATTGGCTCCGTCCGCATTCTGGACACCATTATCTGGCTCGTTATCAAGTACACCATCAGCCGATTCAGAATTTGTTTCATTTTGCGCTGTCTGAGAAAGACTACCAACAATATTATGGTTGTTTGGTGCCTTGGTTCCCGAAAATCCACCACTTTCACCTGACAACGTCACACGACCATTTGTTTTTGCCTGAAAAATTCACAATTTGTAATTTTATTTGAAAAAATGTAAAAAAAAACACTAACTCACCGATTCAGGGTCATCGCTTGAGTCCTTTTCCATTGCGTGGGATGATTTTTCATTTGAATTGGCTTCGTCCGCATTCTGCACAACATCATCTGGATCATCAGCGATGACAGCGTTGGAGTTAGTGTCAATTTGCGTTGTCTGAGAAAGACCACCATCAATATCATCGTTATTCGGTGTGTTGATTCCCGAAAAACTGCCACTATCTCGTGACAATGTCACACGACCATTTGCTTTTGCCTGAAAAAAAATCACAATTTGTAATTTCATTTGAAAAATAAATATTAAAAGGCAAATTTACCGATTCATTCGATGGCTTGTGAGTGCTTGCATCATCCAAATCATTTTCTGACTCGCTGTATCCCAACGACATAACTTCATCGTCAAAATCATCGTCAGATTCAGGCGGAATCGGCTGATATTCCATCTCTACCTCGTTGTCGTCGTCAATATTTGCAGGATTTGCGTTGTCATCATCATCGATGGTGAACATTTCTGCGAATTCTTCGGCATCATCTGCGGTCAAGTCTTGTACGCCAATCAAATTATTTGCATAACGAATTGCATTGAACAGTGGTTTTGTTTCTTGTTTGATGATTGCCTCAATATTTTCTTCAATCAATGGTGGAAGCGGTGGCGTGCAAAGTACGACGCGAACGACGCAATTGCGTCGGGCGGCACTTGCCGTGGGGCGGCAAAATTGCGAGCGAAGCGAGCAAAAATTTTGTATTTTAGTAATAAAGGTAATTTTTGGGGCGGCATTTTGGGCATCTGCGTCGGGCGGCACATTTGCTTTGCACGCCACCGGGTGGAAGACACTGGTTCAGTCGCTTTGGATTGTAGACGGCTGGTAGAACGTGGCGTTTTTTCTGTATGTACGCGTCCGCCTCATCGAATGAGTTGAACACCTTCAAAACCTTTGCTAAGAAGCATGCATCAAGATTTTCATCGAATCTTTCGGCCAACGGCAGTCTGAAATTGGGTGTTGTACTTTCATCCGACGAAAAAAAAATGCGACGATTGATGTTTTTGTTGATTGAGCCGTTCATGCTTTCAGCCATATCGAAGTTGCCGCACCATGATGGTGGAATGTGTAACAGCGTTTTGTCACAACATAAAATCATAGCGAAACGCATTTTGACGAATGAAAAAAGACTTGTACAAAACAAATTTGTTTGTTCACAACACTTCAACGAACTTTGTTGCACTGATTATATGGTCAGAATAAATAAACTATTTTTTCTTGACTGAATGCTCTCTATTGTATGTGCTTATTGCTTCAAAACTGTACTCTCACTAGCTATGATGACACTTGATGCACAGAAAATCCCGCGACGAAATGATGCTACGACACAGATACTAACAAATTAGGCGCGTGAATTCTTTTGTTTTTGACATTTGCGTTAGTTAGCCAATATACACTGCACGGTGCGCTACACTGAAAATTAAAAAAAGTCGTTAAACAAAATATTCTCTTTTGTGATTTATTGAAGAAGTATTTGAAAATTGTTGGTTTCTCGTGGTTTAAAAAATGGCAGAAAGCGGTGGATCGCCCAAATCAAAGCACCCTGTTCGAATGTATTTTAATTTCGATCCAGAAACACAAAAGAGTGAATGTAACATTGGCAACTGTTCGCCGGCCACAAAGTTTATACAAGGAGACCATTCTGGTAATCTCAATCGGCACTTGAAACGATATCATCCAGATGAAGCCAGCATTGTCGAAGCAACTTTGAAAAAACATAAAAAAACAGAAGATTCTCCGAGTGGTGTGCCGGTTTATTTTACACATCAGCAAATTATTGATGCATTGGTTACGTTGACAACAGTTAATGGAAGGCCATACAGTATCATTGATGATAGAGGACTGCGAATGTTAATTGATCCAATTATTGATGCATTCAAATCAGCTGGGAAACCACTTACAATCAACAAACTCAACATAAAAACGGCAGGCGATGAAAAATTTAATGAAGTTAAGCGTGAAACCACAGAGCTCTTGGGAAACCGAAGAATAGCTCTACAACTTGACTTGGCGACGTGTGAAAACAAGCATATCCTGGGAATTGATGCAAACTATATTGAAAATGGGGCTATGCACACGCGATCTCTGGCCATGGTAAATTTAAAAGGCCGAAGCACTGGAATGAACATCGCAAAACAAGTCTTGAGTGTATTAAAGTCGTATGGCATTAAACTTCAAAACGTCAATTCTATCACGACGGATAATGGATCGAACGTTGTATTGGCTGTGAAAATTCTGAAGGCATATAAAAATAATTCACTTGACATGTTTTTTGAAGGAGAAGAAGATTTCAATTTTGATACTGAAGACATGGCCGATTTTACTCAATTAATAAACGAAAATGCATGTCGCATTGAATACGATTGCCAAGATATGCCATTTCATATTGCTTGCTCAGCACACAGCGCTAACTTGGCCATTGGCGATACCATCAACAAATGTACTGAGGTCAAAAATGCAATTGAAATCTTTCGGGATTATTCGAAAAAACTTAGAACGCCAACGTCAATGAGAGTTCTTCAAGAAAACAACCAAAACATGGCACTGTTGGATGTATCAACTCGATGGTCGTCGCTTTACAACATGTTACTGAGATTGGCTCAACTAAAACCATTTACGAGTTCATTGCCAGACCATCTTTTTAGCGGAAAGAATATGACCGAATCAAATTGGGAGGATATGATGGAATTCATCGAAGTACTAAAACCCACGGCAATATTGATGAAAAACCTTCAAAATGTGCACATATCGTTGAGCGATGTTTTTGCTTATTGGACTGGCGCAATTTTGTCACTTCAAGAACTTCAGACAGTGCAACCCGAAAGTCCCTTTTTGGATACAATGTTGGACAATGTGCAAGAACGATTCAAATATGTGTCGAGCAACCCAATGATGTTGGCTAGCGTTTACCTTGACCCAAGATATCAACTATTGTTGGATTCCGCAGAAAAAGACAAAGCGATCGATTACTTGACAAAACTACACATGACATGTTCTCAAGTTGAAATTTATCAACCACCGATGAATCAAATCAATAATTTGCCACACGCTGGTTTGAGCTCACTTGAACAATTTCTCCGCACAAAAGAAGTACCACCAACTGATTCTGTACTGACCGATGCAGTGACAAACATTCGCAAAAGGCTCATTGATTTTGGTAAAAATCCACGACAACCATCAACTTCTAGTCTATTGTCATTCTGGGAGGAAAATAAAAGTAAACATTTCGAATTACACTCACTTGCTGTCATTATCCACACTAGTCCCGGCACGGAAGTAAAAATCGAACGGAACTTTTCAACTTTGAAATTTGTTTTGAACCGATTGCGAAACAATTTATCGGATTACGACTTAGAAAAGATTTTGATTATTAAATTTAACACAAAGTAGTTTTAAACAGAAAAATATCCACCGTTCAATGTTATTATTATGTATTTATTTTGAAGAAATATATTTTTGTTTGAGAATCAAATGTTATTGTTTGTAACTTTGACAGATCATTCGTTTTTGACAGCTCACTGAATAGCGGAATAGCAATACTGTGTGTATGCAATACTGTGTGTATGTAATACTGTGTTTCGATGTGTTAGTGAACGCGTAAGTATGAACGTTTCTGTGTCCCATACAAACCATTTTTCGGAACGTTCCAAACGGTTCGGTTTGTTCACACACTCAAACCAAATATTCGGTTTGGTTTGGTTTCAATCCCTGAGATTAACATGGATACCATCATGGACCATGATGGTCAAGTTAACACGACTTGCCACCATTTTTGCAAACGAATAGTCGACATGGATATCATTTGATAGGGAATGGAAACGGGAATGAAAAGCGTGACATAGGATTATTTTATGGTATTTTTAGAAATTGAAAGAAAAATATTTTCAGACATTTCGAGACATTGTGGAATGAGAGATATAAAGTTTTACAGCAGGACATTGCAGCCATCAATTTGTTAATTAAATTCACTCATTATCCGCCAAGAATATATTAAGAAAATTTGTTATTTTTCTGTTTTTCTTTGGCGAAGCGAAGCGCGCGGGAATCGCTAGTATTTAATAAATTTCAATCGTCTTGCAAAATTGGATAATATTCCTCTGTTAGCCTGTCTCCCATTTACGAATGATAATTTCAAAAAAATGATGACTTTTCTTACGAAAACTTAATATTTATTCATTTATTGTCACCGCCAAGTACTGGCTGAATATGTTTTGAGAATGCACAAAAACCGGCTACATTAATGATTTCATTAAAATTTCGACCGATAGTGTCTCCAAAATCATTTTCCAACCCTGTGGGAAAAAATTTCACCTCCCCCTTGAAAATCAAGTAACTCAAAAAAAACCTGAAATTCATCTCTGGCTACGCCGCTGTAAATTTGACTGAAATAAGTGATATTGGTCGTTTTTTGTGATAATCAATATTAACTTAATCAATTGAATTGAAAGAAGAAAACAATAAAAATAAACAATCAGAGGAAGTAGACAATGAGATAAATGTGTATGAAGTATTTAATCCCATGCCTTTTCATCATGGCGATGAAGCTAGAACAACAATAACACGTATTTCCGATGTGTTTACATTAAGACGAGGTCCACTGACACGACACTTGTGTTGATAGTTGAAGATTTCAATCACATACGCGTATGCATGGCCGATAATCAAGTAGCCTTTCGCGCAAACCGTATAAATCCAATGCTAGCGTGTCTGTATTGTGTGTATATATTGACCGCTCGACGTGTGTTGTGTGTATGACCACTAGAGGCAGGTCGAATGTTGTCGTCAGCAGGGATTTTATAGCCGCGCTTTTCATTTGTGAAGTGCCCACAGAATTTCCACTTTGTTGCTCTATTGGTATCAAAATATAACTAGGAGCTTATGACTCTCGCGAATATTGCGAATGCATTCGCATTTACGTATATCAAATTTTGAATACCTGCGAATGCATTCGCTCCGCCATACCATAGTACGAATGTTTACGAATGCTTCCGAATGCCACTATCAAATTTCGAATACCTGCGTGTGTTTGCTGGTTTTTAAATGTCAATTCGTTTTTTCTCACTGTGAGCTCAAACATGGTAATGATTTTTGTTTTGTTTATTTGTGAAATTTTTTAATTAGTTGGGTTTTTAGGCATCGAACAATATTTTTGCGGATTTATTTTGTCCCGGTTTCAATTTAAATGGTAAATCGTTTTTCAACAAATGTTCGTAGACTGTTTCTTTTAAAACTTCTTTATTTTCGTTTATTCGATATTTTTCTTAACTTGAGTTTATCCTAGGACCTAGCTAACGCTGATTATGCGTCGTGTCCAGCTCCATAAATGATATGATCGAGCCCACGTGGTAAAGTTCTGCCTACTATTCTTTGCAATTTGCGCAAAAAACCTTCTTTCGACATGGTGCCAGGGCGGTGAAACCGAACTGTCATCATCAATTACAACGCGGCTGTCAGAATAAAGTTCAAATTGAATACACGCCAGACAGTGCACCTTCGTAGCACGACTTGTTGAATTTGAACTTCTATGTTTGAAAAAGACAACGTATTTTCGTGAACGTATATTATTCATGGAGTGAATAAAAAGATAAAATCAAGTGAAAAATAAATATGTGTGTAAAAATATGTTGTTTCTCTCTTTCCTATTTAAATGCAATGAATGATTTGGACGTTTGACACATTCACGTTATCAAATTTAGAAAAATGTTTCCAACATGAACAAATTTATTTAAGTTTTCTTTAGATTTGCTGATGTTCAAACGAATTTTAAAATCAATTAATTCAATTTTCTCATTATTTACGTTCGCTTCCTACAAAGTGAGCTTAAATGTGTTTCAGGAGCCATCGGAATGAAGCGCAGTTCGACAACAAAAACAAACAATACATTGATTCTTATGGAGACTGAATGTACAGAATGTGACAAGAGCGAAACTAGTGAAAATATTTATGAACTAACATGTAATTACAAAGTTTCTATCTTAATTGCATTGAAAAACACAAGAAAAACACCTGAAAGTAGGCAAAATTCCAAGTTCCAATAACTTAAACATGAATAAACATGTAAAGCACATACACATTTCTGTGACATACAAAGTCCCTTGCTGTTGGATCGTGGAATAAAGTGGCTCCTTAAACACACAATGGCTTTGTTCCACCGAGTGCACAAATTTGTTCTACTCATTGAACATGTCAGTAGATACTTAACCTCACTTTGTCAATCAAAAACAAGAAAAATGTTAGCAAAGAATTTTTGAGCAGAAAAAAGAAAGTTCATATTCTTTTTTGGTATTTTTTCAAACGTTTCTAAAATATGAATAATATTTTTAAAAATGGGTTTTCATATTAATACACTAGGTATATTGTTATAAATAATTGAAATATTTTTTTAACCAGAATGCTTGAAATATGTACTCATGTACTTATGCATACTTTTAGCGCGTTCCGCAACGAATGACAACCGACTAAGCGGTCCCCGTTGTAGTTTGACAGTTCGGTTTCACCGCTCTGCATGGTGCAATGGAGTTGAACTGATAGCTAGCTCACACGGGCATTCGTGTCGATTCATGTATTCGCAATGCTTCCATATGAAATGTGTGTATACATTTGCGCCGCATTCGCAGCGCATTTGCGTGATGTTTGTATTCGAATGTTCACGAATGCCACTGCGAATGTTTACATATATTTTGTATGGAAGCATTGCGAATGCTTGTGTTTAAATACGAATAAACACATTTTTTTACAATCGAGTAAACATTTTCGAATACTCATAAGCCCCTAGAAATATAATTTCACAAATTTATCCCAGCCAAAATATACTTTTATCATTAACACAAAATAAAAATTAAATCAAAACCTTGATTTTTGTTTGAAGTATTATTTGAAAATCGATTATATTGAGCAGGGCTATGAATCATCCAGCTGATAAGTGAGCTTTCAAAAATCAATTATATACGAGCCATATACTATGTGTTGTATTAATCATATGAGTAGAAAGCTAAGTAGATAAGCACAGATAAACTCAAAAAGTGTGTAATATTTGACACACTTCGATTAGTCAGTACCAAATGCTCACTTGAACAACAATATCAGTGTTCCATTGATTTTTTGCACATTCAAAAAATAAAATGATTTACTCGTTTGACTGCAATTATTTGTGTTTGGCAAAGGAAAAAAACTTTGTCACTATTACAAAATTATAAGAAAAATAAATCTCAATAAATAGTCTTACCTCCGTAAGACGAACTTTTCCGCACCGGTTTCATGGCGTTCAGTTTTTATTCAGATTTTGCCTAGGAAATTTATAAGAATTTTTAGAAAAAAACAACAGTACGTTAATGTATTTTATGGAAAACTGGCTTAAGATTTACCACTCTTTCAAAAATGCAAAATAATCAAGTATTGAAAAAACTGAACTTTAATCGAAGAACTGCAAATCAGTCAAATATTTGGAGAAAGAACTTTGGTTTTAATTAAATCAAAAAATGTGGACGGAAATAATAAGCTATCTCGACAAAATGTTTAATAAGCAAGTTGAATGAACTAATTTTTTTTGTTTCATTTTTCATGAAATTAGACAAAAGTTACCAAATCGAAATCAATTGGTTATTATTGCGATGCAACACTTGAAAACAAGTATCCAAAAACTTAGACAAAAACAAAAATGTGTGTATTATTAATTGTGGAAACAGCTGTAGTTCATTTGTTTCTTATATTCTTTTGATGTGGTTTCGTAGTTCGCTGGTCTTTTTTAAATTGTCTGTTTCGTGCTGATTGGTTTTTAGATGGTATGTTGCGGGGTTGTGTCCCAAAATGATGGTTGTGGCGTATGAAATCGAGAAAATGCCACAGGAACATCCATCTGGTTGCAACGTTGCCGGTTCTATGAATTGATACTGTGCTCCGGGGTACAGGCGAGAGAGGATGTTTCGTTGATATACGTCCAATCTTTTGCCATGATTGCCCTCCCCGTGTATATTGTATAGTGAACTGTGGTGTAATGGCCAAGAAAGCTGGCCTAGCCGCTGTATATTATTTACAGATCGTCTCGTTCGGCTAGAAGTCGTTTGTATCGCTCTTATTTTTGTCCATAGCAGACTGGATGCATATTGAATGTTATGGTTCTGTTTGCGTTCACCAAATTTATAATGAACATATCGATTGACAAATCATTTAAGAATTCTGTTCCAACAATTTGATTTGCGATTGATTCTAGATCTGTATTCTTTGTAGTTTCACACAAGTCTCCGATTTCGTAGTAAAATCCATCCTCTTCCAATTCGGGAAAATCCACATTGTTGAGAATAAATGAGACTCAGAATCACTATTCAATACATTTTTATACATTTGTTAAAATTGTGTATATTTTATTGACATTGTTTAATTTTAATCACTAA